GGCCCCTGTCTCTTATACACATCTAGATGTGTATCCCCCCCCTCCCCAAAGACGGGCCTCGCCACGTGGTTCCCTTTTTTTTTTACGCCCGGTGCCAGTGAAACTTCCCGTTTTAGCCTTCCATTTTTTTGCGACATCTCATCCTATTGTGCCTGGTATACTACACGTACCTTTTTTCCAAGGCCTGCAGCCTTTTTTTCTTTTTTTTTCCTACAAGTCCCTTTTGTCAGTCGGTAGTATACCAGGCCTTTTGTTTTTCCAAATTGAACGAAGCTGGACCCCCCATACGTTGCTTTTCGTCCACCGCTTCCACTACCCTCACTCCCCCCTCCAAGACGCGCTGTGTAGAAGCGGTTTCTTTTTTTGTTGAGGTCCGGTGCCACTAAATTTGGGCCTCTCCATTTGTGCCTTCCCTTTCCTTGCCACATTTCGGCCTATTCTGCCACTGGTGCCGTTTCGTTTGGGTTCTTTACCATAGGTACTTTTTTTTTACCACAGGTACTTTTTTTTCCAAGGCCTGCACTTGGTTGGCCCAGGCCGAGGCTCTCTTTATTTTTTACCTACCGGTACCTACTTCTCTTCACACCACTTTTAGCTCATTGTTGTTGACGTTCCTTGAAGTTTTTCATTGTCTTCATCTACAGCCACTCTGTTTTCACCATCTCCCTTCTGCTTCGTGTTCCTATCATCACCTCTGTGTGCTTGTGCTCTTCACGTGTGTGCTACGTTCTTCAAGCCTTGAACATCTGCAGAAACCCTGACACAGAGAGGGGGAGAGAGAGAGAGAGAGAGAGAGAGAGAGATTGCTGGAGACAACATCGCAGAGATTCTTGCTGGGAGCTGAAGCCGTACTTGATAAGGTACGGTATTATTATTATTATTATTATTATTATTTTTATTTATTTTTTCTTCTTCTTCTTCTTCTTTCTTTCTTTCTTTCTTTTTCTTTCTTTCTTTTTTTCTTCCTTTTTTTTTCGATTTTTTTTAATTTTATTTTTCAATTTTTTTTCGATATTTTTTCGATTTGTTTTCGTTTTTTTTATTATATTTTTTTGATATTTTTTCAATATTTTTTCAATATTTTTTTGATTTTTTTTTAATTTTTTTTT